GGAAGAAAAAGTGAACAGCGATGAGAAAACAGGTTAACTAATGTTTACTTTTTTTTTTTTTTACTTTTTATTTAAAAAATATAAATATTTGGTATAATATAATATAATATAATATAATATTAATAAAATAAAATATAATAAAATATAATACAATAGCATATAATATAATATAATGTAATGTAATATAATATAATATAATATAATATAATATAATATAATATAATACAACACATATTACAATCCCATATAAATCCTATAATACAATAAAATAAAATATAATATAAAATAAAATTTAATATCATATAAATTCTATAACATAATTTAAAATAAAATAATGTAATGTAATGTAATATAATATTTTAATATTATATTTTAATATTTTTTAATTTATTATAATAAAATAAAATAAAATAAAATAAAATAAAATAAAATAAATATAATATAATATAATATAATATAATATAATATAATATAATATAATATAATATAATATAATATAATAAATATTTATATGCAAACATATATATTTTACAATACTTAATATTGTAATAATTGCTATATTTTATATACAATATAGTCATGCACATATTTATTTCAGACTTATCTATTGCTTGATTTGCGGACTTTCATGCTGTCCCAGGTGAGAACCTTGAGGATGGGAGGCCAAGACAAGGAAGGTATGATGGGCTTATTTATTGGAGGCTAGAATTCATCTGATTGGTCTAGCAATGATATCTGATTGGACTAGCAATTATTATTGATGTGAGGCCAGCCGCGATCAATCATATCACATGCTCCTCTCGAAATGAGTTTATAAAACTTCATTCACATAAAAATTTTCACAGTTATTGTAAATACATATAATAATATACACATATTTGTAAATATGAACTTTTATTTTGGATGCAATTAATTGTTTTACAGCACTAAATATAACGTAACGTAACGTAAACGTAACATAACATAACATAACATACCATACAATACCATAACATAACATAACATAACATAACATAACATAACATAACATAACATAACATAAAATAATAAAAATAATATGGGCGATGCAGTGGCGCAGTAGGTAGTGCTGTCGCCTCAAAGCAAGAAGGTCGCTGGTTCGAGCCTCAGCTTGGTCACTTGCCGTTTCTGTGTGGAGTTTGCATGTTCTCCCTGCATTTGCGTGGGTTTCCTCCACAGTCCAAAGACATGCGGTATAGGAGAATTGGGTAGGCTATATTGTCCGTAGTGTATGAGTGTAAATGAGAGTGTATGGATGTTTCCCAGAGATGGGTTGCAGCTGGAAGAGCATCCACTGCGTAAAACGTGTTGGATAAGTCGGTGGTTCATTCCGCTGTGGCGACCCCAGATTAATAAAGGGACTAAGCGAAAAAGAAAATGAAAGAATGAATAATATAATATAGCACAGAAAACTAATAATTACTACTATTAAACCCTATTAAATAATATTAAACTATTATATGTATGTATGTATATATATATACATATACACACACACACACACAAAACAGTTCTGTCTGGATCTCAAATCTGATTGGCTGATAGCCGTGATATATTTAAGTAATATCAGCATCCGTACAGCCTCTTTACCCATTGTGTATTACTCCGCCCACATACAGCCAACAACAATCAGACACTACAGTTTTACAAATATTACTATGCTATAATATAGTTGTTTAGATTGCAACTATGCAGTTTATTTGCAAGAATAGTGCCTACTTTAAATTATTTACAATTTCTGAGAGACAGCTCGTCAGTGACAGTTAACGCTTTCTCTCCACAAGATGGCGACAGAACTGCATCATAAGCCCTTTCGCTTAGAAGATATAGCAGTCTGATTTCTAACTATAGCAGATCAAATCAATATTATACTGGTAAGCACACTTCCCAACACTTCCGTTTTTCATGGGAGTATCCCGTATTTCAGACCAGTCTCCCGCAAACATCCCGTTTTTATTTCTTTCAACAAAAAAAAACTCCCGTAAGTTCACCCACTTCCCTCTTTGGTACAGCCTGTAAACTAAACACCTCCGGGTTGCCAACTTTGGTACAGAACCCAATCGAAGTAGCCGTCATAAACCCGCTGCATCCTATCCCGGTTCTCAACCTCACCACCAAACACCCCCTCCCCCTGGTCTCCCGAGTTTTCAGAGACATGTTGGCAGGTTAGATGAGCTCTCTTTTTGTATGTTGTAGTGCTGTATTTATACCTATTTGCTCGCATATCAGGAATGTGTGTTGTGTTGGCAGATTAAAATGAGCAAAGTCACAAACACAACAGCAGTCTGGTAACGTTAGTGGATTTGTTGTTATTTTCGGGGTTAATTATTGTGAAATCCTGATTGCAACAGAGAAATACTGTAGACTGTAACACTTTAAGAAGATATCTCTGTAGATGGATGGCATTTCATGTCACGTTCAGCCTTATAATCTTAAAGTGTAAGCAAAATCAGCAGTTTTCTTATCACGTTAGACGGAGTCATTCAAACACTAGCTCTAAAGTGATGTTGGGGAATAAGGTAGGGTTCTGCTGTTTTGAAGTCAGCGGCAGAGGTGAATGAATGGCGGAAGAAAGTAGTTCCTGATAAAAAGGGTTTTTAGACTCTCCGTGTTTGATTTTCTTATTTATATACAGGTTTGTGATGTTGAAATGTTGTATAAACACAATATCACACTTGTAGCGGTCCGATATAGCTGTATATCAGCACTGATAGGGCGCTAACGCACGCCTCCCACCAGTGCTGATATACAGCCATATTGCACTGCTACTTGTGTGATATATATATATATATATATATATATATATATATATATATATATATATATATATATATATATATATATATATATACATACACACAAACACACACACACACACACACATACATACACACACGTGTGTTTATGTGAGAGTTCAGATGCAAAAACCTCTAAGTGCCATCTGAAATTTCCATCGAAAATATAATATAATTAAATAAACAATAAATATACATATTGGTGGTGAATGAGGAGATTTCCTTAACATCTGTAAAGCACTTTGAGTCCACGGAATGAAAAGCTCAATATAAACGTAAAAAAATAAATGTAAAAACCATGATTTGCTAGTTTTCTACACTGACTGAAAAATGAAATGTTTTGAATATAAATGTTTAATATTTACAGTTAACCATTTGAATTGTATATATTTCAGGGACATGTGGCCAGGGGAGGCAGGCGAATCATCCTAACCTGCCTTCATGAGATGTAAAGTAATGATGAAATTAATATTTGTCCTCTGATCTGTGCTATGAATGCAATTTCTGTATGATTCATATGATTTCAATCCTTTTAATAATAAAAAAAAATCGCTGTGTTTTGCATATTTTCTGTTCACTTACAGCAAAGGAAGCGAGGTGAGGCAGCACTGAGCTGCATGCCTCACATCAGATTACGCAATTCCTTGCAAACTGGGTTGAACGCATGCCTTTTGCTTACTCAGTGTATGCTACCATTATAATCCTTTATTAAAATGTTTTTACACATTGTAAAAATTTTTTCATTACAAGTTCTTACTTTGCATATGATAAGTAATCTATTTCACAAATGTCTACCACTTATTTAGAGTTAGGATCTTACATAAAGCCACACTGAAAAGACATGAGGTGAGGCAGGCAGTAGCCCTGCCACAGTTATTCCTGTTCAGTGATTGCTCTTCTTCTATGTAATAAAGTAAAGTTCAATAGGAGTCTGTTATTTTATGTCTGCAAAAATCACAGATGTAATGTTAATATCTCAGCTCAAAATTTTCTCAAAATTGGCCTTTAATAATTTTTTTTAAAAAAGTTAATAAATAATGGATGACCAATGCCAGAGCTAAAGGGCTTGCTTCAAAGGACAGAAGATAAATCAATTATTTCAAAGTAATTCAAGTCATTTCAAGACTTAAAGGGTCATGACAATCCCCCACTTTTGGTTCAGGTCTACCTCAGAATTTTTTCAAAAGATGCATCATAATGGACGTGGATCTCCGCGAGCAAATGGCAGGAGTGGGCGTGGCCAGCAGGAGAAAATGAGTGGAGCGAACAACTGTTGTCAGTTAGCTCACAAAATGAGACACAAACCGTGAGGTTAATTTTGTAAACTTTTATATAATTATACACATAATTATAAAGATAATTGTGTTCATATAAACACTATAAATAAGGACTTTTCCCTCAGTCCCCGTGTCTGAATCATAGGCCTGAATGCAGACTCAGTGCAGCAGGTCTCTTGCCCTGTCTATTTTAACCATTAGCCCTGTTGGTAATCTAGAGGATTTAGGCAAACACAGCAGCACAGCGATGTGTCTAAACGTGAACGAACTCCTGATAAAGGACAACGTCTGCCATTCTCCAATTCTCGTAATGCTCTTCCCACAAAAATGATTGAAAATCTCAAAAAAAAATACACGAGGATTTTGTGAACCTTTAATTTATAAGTATAGTTAAGACCAGTGTCCAACCTATGTGTGTGTTTGTGAGACAGAGAAAGCCGCCGTGATGTTATGTTGCTTATTATAGGCTGTCTGTAGCATCCACCTTGTTTTGAGAGGCATATTGAACCGCTATACATTTTACATTCAGCTGATATGTACCCGCCATGTGTATAGAAAGAATGCTGATATGATATATGAAACACAATCGGTATTTGGCAAATAATATTGAGTGCATATATTTGTAAAAAAGGCCCTGAAATAGTCAGTGCCTCATCAGCCACAATCCTCACTGCACGTCACTGATATATACCCATTTAAAAGTAGCACAGCACAATGTAAAATCCCAGAACTATCACAAGTCATTTGATCAAACTCTGCAAAAAGTTATCTACATTTGCCTTATTTAAAATTTCTTGACTAGATTTTGTTAAAACACTTGACTAGTAAAGTACTCAGAGTCAGTCAGTCAGTTAAAATGTGTCCTTTAGCAGTGGTGTGTTTGTTTAGGTGCTGCGGTCTGGCTTCTTACCTCTGCACTGCTCACCCGACCTTCCTGGAAAGAGCACTCGGCTACATTATTAGTGCAGATGTGGCGATATTTACACCAGTTGCAAGGGAAAGAACTGCTAACACACGATGAACACCTACAGAGCAGAAAAACAACAGACAGTTACACGAGAGGCTTTATCTTAACATAGAAATCGTTTAAAAATACAACTGCAAAACAAAAAGGTTTTTAGTTATATGGTGAGAAAAGAAAGCCAAGTGAATAAATGAGTTGCTTTATTTTAGTTGTATGTATATATGTGTAATTCCAAATACGTCAATGCTTGAAACTGAATTTAATAAAAACAGATAATTAACACCTACAATAATTTCTTGAGGGTTACTGAACACTCAATAATCCATAAAGAAAGTTAAGCTGATTATAATATGGATGACTTATTGTCACATTAAGCCTACTGACTTTATTCAGCTGTTAGCATCTAAAAAAAGCACATTCTAGTTCAAAACCAGCAGGAGCCAACTTTCCAGGGCAGAGCAAGCTCTTCTTTTCTGGAAACACATGAAACTGCCATATTTTGTTCTTTCTGTTAGTGGAAAAGGGGGAAATGGAGAAGAAAGAGAAAGAACGGAGAACAAACAAAAACTAGAAACTTTTGAGGTTGCCTCAAAAAAGTTTAAAAAGACTAAAATAGTTGTAAAAGCTTGACGTTTGCAACATTCTGAAAGTTCTCCATGTTACTTACATGTTTCCAGCATGGTTTAATACACTGCTAACACATTTAGCATGTTGCTAACATTTTTCAAACAATTTTCCACAATGTTAGCAAGTTTATTAACAATTTTACTTACAGTTATTATTTAAAAACTGCTAGCGTATTTTATGTTGATAGCATATTTTGATCTAGCATGACATACAGTGTTTAAATTTGTAGCATGTCGCTAACATGAATTGTATAACAGTAGCAAATTCGTAGGTTGCTATCACAATTTAATACAATGCTAGTATGTTTTATAAGGCTGCTAAGATGCTTCTAATGTGATGTTGATGTTGCAGGAAAAATAGGAAAAATGGGCAGAGTGAAAAAAACAAAACAATTAGAAAATGTTGAGGTTGTCTCAAAAAAGCAGAGCCTGAAAGTCTAAAATAGTTGTAAAAGCTTGAAGTTTGCAACAATCTGAAAGTTCTCCATGTTGCTAACATTTTTCTAGCATTGTTTAATACACTGCTAACACATAATTTGCCAAGTTAGCAAGTTTACTAACAATTCAACCTACTGCTAATATTAAAACTGCTTGCATATTTTATGTCAATTGCATGTTTTGATCTAGCATGACTTACAGTGTTTACATTTGTAGCATGTCGCTAACTTGATTTTTATAATGGTAGCAAGTTTGTAGGTTGCTAGCACAACTTGATACAATGCTAGAATGTTTTATTAGGCTGCTAAGACGCTATTAATGTGATGTTGATGTTGCTGGAAAAATGGGGGAAAATATGGGCAAATAATGAAAAAAAAAAAACCTAGAAACTGTTAAGGTTGTCTCAAAAAAGCTGAGCCTAAAAGTCTAAAATAGTTGTAAAAGCCCTCCATCTTGCTAACATATATAACGTATTGTTTAATACACTGCTTAACATGTTGCTAACATACTCTTAGAATATTCAGTTGATAGCATGTTTTGACTTAACATACATTTGTAGCATGTCACTAACATTTGTACAATGGCAGCAAGTCTGTAGGTTGCTAGTACAGTTTAATACAATGCTAGCATGTTTTATTAGGTTGTTAGGATGCTTCTAATATGATGTTGATGTTGCTGGAAAAATGAGCAAAGAATAATAAAAAGAAAAAAAAAAATAGACAATTTTGAGGTTGTCTCAAAAAAGCTGAGCCTGAACGTTAGCAAGTTTACTAACAATTTTCCACAACTATAGCAAGCTTATTAAGAATTTTACTCGTAGCTAAAAGCATGTTTTGACCTAGCATGACTTACAGTGTTTACATTTGTAGCATGTTGCTAACATGAACTGTATAATGGCAGCAAGTTTGTCAGTAGCTGGCATAACTTAATACAATGCTACATGTTTTATTAGACTGCTAAGATGCTTCTAATGTGATGTTGATGTTTAATAAACTGCACATGGCTCCACCATCTCTGCTTTCTCGTGTCCTAATGTTAGATTAATGGTTTAACACAACTATTGGATATTTCTAGCATAATTTAACAAGTACAACATTTTAGATGCTGATAGCATGTTTTATGACACATTTCTAACATTGTTAAGATGTTTCTAGCAATTTGTAGCACAAGGATAGTACACCATATCACAAAGTATTATGATTCTAGCATGTTTCAATAGCATGATTCAGAATATTGTAGGCTAAATAAAGTCAATAGTCTGAACAACTGACCCACACTGTAAAAAATATCCATAAATTAGCAGTTTTCCGTATTCTGTGATTCATGCTTTTGTTTTTCCCATTTATTTATGCTTTTGAATTGCATTATAGGACCTTGATCTTTCGTTCAACGTTTAAACTTAAAAAGTTAGAAACAAGTGACTTTTATGAACATTTTTGATAGTCTAAAGTAATATATTGTTTAGTTTTATATTGAGTTGGTGTTGTATATTATGCTACAAAATCCTTGTAATAAACTTTCAGTACAGTACAGTGCAAGTTTGGTGGTTAGTCTTTAGTTTTACATCCCAAGGAATAGCAGTTTATAACTTTGCTCTTATAACCATAATAACACATTTATAAACATTTCAGTAAACAAACCAACAATCAAACCAAATCTAAATGCTTAACCATCACGCCACACAAAACCCAAAACTAGAGAAAGTGCAAACTTTTCCCTCTCCTCAACTGAACCTCCAGCTCAAGTCATTAATTCTCTCAATTCTTTAAATACTTTGCCTATAAATCACATCATTGTCCTCGGGAACATCTTGAACGAGCCTCGGGTCAGACTTAAACTCTCATAGAGACTCTCTTGATGTGAATGAAGACACCGCCGTGCAAATCTGAGCGGTCAATATGTCACAAATCCGCTCTTTCACTCCAACACCCACAATTATTCCTCGAGGGCCATTGAACACCCGACTCGTTCTCAATTAGTCATTAACCCGACCCTGAAAAAGCCTTTTAGACCGCCGCCTTAATGACATTCCCAATTAAACAGTCACGTCCTGCAGTGAAACATACGCGGGCGACACCTGTGGACGTACGGGGCGAAAGGCCAATGGCGCCACAAGAGAGTCCACGCTGGGAAAACGTTAGCGGACACTTCCGGCAGGGCGGCTTTTCTACTTCAAGCTGGCTCTCGTCTGCCACACCACTCTATGTAGTCTAGAATAGAAAGATGGCACAATACGACATACTAATCACGTCCTTCTCTCTGGAGGCACGGTTCGAATCGCCTTTAGAGAGCACTCGACAGTCAGAGCACAGCGCACCTGCAGCTGCATCGCTCAGGAGAATCTCGACGCGGTCTGAAGGGAGGACAAAACATCCTCTGGTTCTTCCATTTGAAACATTTTCACTAGCAAATCTACCTCTCTAGAACAATATCAAAACATACAATTTATTGTTGGTGTTTTTAGTAATTGGTAACAGGTGGAAATAACACGAAATCATGTATATCTAAGAGAGTTTGATACAGTTACAATGGGGCTGTTAAATCCTTGATTCTCATTGGCTGATGAACATTGTAAGGTGTGTATTATTGTCAGATATAAGCATAGCATAATGTGCAAAAGTCTTAGGCCACCGCCAGCGTTTGGAAGCCTGAGACATTTTGCACACATCTATGGAGCAAGCGCAGGGTCATTTTATTGAGGTGAACTAAACCTTTAATATACAAATAGAAAATATGTACACAACATTCAGAACAAAATTACTCTTCTGAAATGATGTGCTATTTCAAATTAGGCATCTTTTAGCACTTCTAAGAGTTCTTGCTAAGATTTAGCTTGTTATATCTTTCTTTTCTATATAATATTCAGGTCAGGACTCTGTGGAGGCCATTTCATACTGTAGGTGTCTTTGTTATATCAGCTTTGTTTCTCTCCATGATTTCATTACATTGGCAGTGTGTTTGCGATCATTATCATGCTGAAAAATAAAACTATTACAACTTAGGTGCTTTCTAGTAGAAATTACAAATCAGGGTTAGGGTTAGGGTTAGGGTTAATTCAATTCAGGCAATATTGACAACAGCTCAAATGCAACTAGAAGCTGTATTTTTTTGATTGTATTTTAATAAAAATAATGAAAAGTAATATATGATGTCATTATACCCTCACTAAAATAACAAATGTAACTGGGGGGCCTAAGACTTTTGCACAGTATATACTGTAATACAAGCAGAATAATTGACTTCGGTCTATTAAAATATTAAAAAAGAATGCACATCCAATTTAGTTTATTACACTTTGGCTTTGCACTATTTTCTATTTTACTATGGAGCTGATAAATACTTGATTCTCATTGGGCGATAAACATTGTAAGGTGTGCCATTATTGTCATATGCGCACAGCTATTTTAACAAGTACTTTCAGGCAGATATTTATACTGTAATAAGCAGAAAAAATTACTCCAGTGCATTATATTATTAGAAAATAATGCACATCTAATGTAAGTTATTATACTTTAGCTGTGCACTAATTTTGTTTTACTGTAAAGCTGTTAAAAGCTTGATTCTTATTGGAAGATAAACATCATATGCACAGTTAGTTTATATTTAATAAGTAGTTCAAGGCATATGCTGAAATGCTTGATTCTCATTGGCTAATAAACATTGTAAGCTGTTAAATGCTTGATTCTCATTGGACAATAAACATCATATTCACAGTTATTTTATATTTAATAAGAAGTTCAAGACATATGCTGAAATGCTTGATTCTTATTGGCTAATAAACATTGTAAGGTGTGCCATTATTGTCATATATGCGCACAGCTAGTTTAACAAGTACTTCCAGGCAGATATTTATACTGTTATAAGCAGAAAAATTGACTCTGGTCCATAAAATATAAGAAAATAATGCACATCTCACGTAAATGATTATATTTTGGCTGTGCGCTATTTTTATTTCACTATGGAGCTTTTAAATGCTTGATTCTCAATGGACGACAAA